CTGGCTTTTTTTGACCGCTTATTGTCCTCAGACCAGCAGTTTTCACATCTGTTATTTCTTACCTTTCCCCAGAGCACCTGGTGTTCAGAAGCAGCAGCTTCCTCTGCATGGTATGCCATTGCTTTCACCGGCACCACGTGGGACACAGAAATGTTCAGTGTGCATAAGAACAGAAATTCCCCATGTTTAACCTCCACTGCTCACTCTGAAGTCTTCTGTCCTCTGCCTCGTGACTCTCTAGCCAAAGTCACTGAAATTCGTTGTAGGAAATCACACAATGGCATGTGGCAGCAGCAATGTGCAGGGTTTTTCCAGTCCTTTCCATTTCCCTGATTATTCATCTGTGTGTACTTCATGTACTGTGAGAACAGCCAAAGATAAGGTGTGTATGGACAGGCTTTCCACTGTCAGACCACTGAACTCTATTTGTCTAGTGAGCAATTCAGATGAATTGTCTGTATCAAGGTCCAAAATGGGATTGGCTTGCAGATGCAAACAGTGGCCCACTGAAGCAAAGACTGCTGAGGGTGGCTTTGCAGCTGCTCAGACCCACAACCAGGCCAGGCCCATCCACAGGGAAACGAGAAAGTCCTTGCTTCCCAGAGATACGAGGCATATGAAGTGACTTGTAGCTGTGTGAAAATGCCAGTGTTTCCTAATATCAGCATGTCTAGCTACCTATAATGTGCAGTTCTTGTTACTATTCTAGTAACTAGTTCTTCCTCATCTATAGGAAGTTCTTCCTCATCTATAATGTGCAGTTCTTGTTACTATTCAAGAGGATTTGCAATCTGCTCAGGATTGCTGAAAGCAGAGAAAGACCAAAGACTGCCTTCTGGGCCGCATCCTAGCATGGAGCGTAAAGTAGCAGCCGCCCTTTAAATTGCTGCTGCAATAATGTCCAAGCTGGGGAAACTGACAATAAGCCCAAAACTTTTGTCATTGTGGTTGGATCAAAGTTTCTAGCCATTAAAATAAAAGATGAGAGGTGCTCAACAGATTTCTGTGATTCTGTGACTACAACACGTGGGAGACAAAAGTGCTCGGTCCCACTCAGAAACACATCAGCTGTGATTCTGTGATTTTGTGATTATGATATTCTATGTAGAGTTAAAAATTTGGGGGAAAACATAAAGTAGCTTTTTGTAGAAAAGCATTATTGAAGAGGTGAGACTCAAACCACCCATTGTTGCTAACATCGCCTATTTTTCTGTGTCTCCAGAAGTTACTGGTACAGTACTTTGTCAGATACAACCAAACAGTAGCATCCAGAAATATCTGAAATATAAATAAAATTCATACACACTGAATTTTAATTATTATACGTAAAGATGTTTTTTCACTGGAACAAAGTTGAGACTTCACCGCTATGAAAGGGAGATAAAGAGACTGTAGAGCTCATCACAATTAAGAATGCAAGTACTGATATGTGGCCATTAGGCTTCATGTATGTATTTAATAAGCAAATCAAGCTTAAACTCAGGAAAATACATAGCCTCAAAAACATTTCATTTTGTGACAGTGCAACTACACATAGTAATGCTAGTCCATAAATCCTATGTAGTGAAGATACTAAGTAGTGAACTTGCAAGACATGGAGAAGTAATTAGTGTAGGCATGCTCCAGAAGAGCAGTGGACTTGATGTCACCTGAGAAAGGCTCATAAAATCACTCCAAAATCTTAGATACGGAAAACTATGACATTTCTTGTCACTTGCCAGATATCTAAATTATTGGCAACACCTTGTCATTTGCTTTTTTTTTTACCACAGGATTCCTTCTGAAGTGACTCCCACTGAATTTACCAAACAGCATCTATTTTTGTGCAGCTTCCAATGTAACTAGTCTTTAAAATTAATATTGTGCGGCTTAGGAGAGGGATAGAATTGAGTTCCTGCTGGTATTACACTTTCTTGCAAACCCCTCCATGTCTTTATACCAGTAGAGACTCTGTGATTTCCTAGATTTATGTTACATGCAGCTGGTACGTATAATTGCATGCTTTACTTGTTTCACTTCTGGGTGACTCTATGAAATCAGTTTTAATCTACTGTCATACACATATCAGTAGAAGCTTAGACCTAAGAATCTGATAAACACAGTTGTCTTCTGGCACCCCAGAGGAGCAAGAGATCCATTTAATCTTTGGCAAGGAGGAAGCGCAAAGTCTTCGCACTGAATGTATGAAAAAGTCATTTGAAATTTTGATGATGGTGCAAGCTCATAACACCCTAAACCACAAGGTCTCAGAGACCTCTTTCATTGCCCATCACCCCAATTAGCAACAGCTATATTCAGCAACTTTAAATAAAATCCTATATGCTCTACGGAAAGTGCAACCATTTCAGTATATGAATTCCTAGTTTGGCCCTAAGTGAGTGTATGTTTGGTTCATGAATCCTGACCTAGATATATCTGTGCTACACTTTCAGAAGCAGTTAAACCTTTCTATGTAAGTATTTGGACATTTGGGGCCTGAGATTTTTAATAAGGTGTAGGACATTGCATGACAGACTGGTTAGTCTGATCCTATAAACCACTGCAAGTAAATGCCTATGTTTCATTCACCCTCATGTCTTCAATCACTTGTTCGCACTTCAGGTCTAGACATAGTCTATTGCTGCTAGTTTGTAGATCATACATCTAGAATGATTTTTAAACAGAAGCAAAGTAAAAACTATTGTATGACACTGAAATGTATACTTCACTTATAAACCTGTCTCAAACAGAGGATCAGAAAAAAGAGTAATCAATAGTAATTTAGAATCGAATAGAATCATTTGGGTTGGAAAAGACCTTTAAGATCATTGAGTCCAACCACTAACCTAACACTGCCAATTCCACCACTATGCCATGTCCCTAAGTGCCACATCTACACGTCCTTTAAATACCTCCAGGGAGGGTGACTCAACCACTTCCCTGGGCAGCCTGTTCCGGTGCTTGATAACCCTTTCAGCGAAGAAATTTTTCCTACTATCCATCTAAACCTCCCCTGGCACAACTTGAGGCCATTTCCTCTCTTCCTATCACTTGTTAATTGGGGAAAGAGGCGGACCCCCCACCCTACTCCTTTCAAGTAGTTGTGGAGAGTGAGAAGGCCTCCCCTCAGCCTCCTTTTCTCCAGACTAAACAACTCCAGTTCCTTCAGCCGCTCCTCATAGGGCTTGTTCCCTTGACCTTTCACCAGCTTAGTTGCCCTTCTCTGGACACACTCCAGCACCTCAATATCTTTCTTGTAGTGAGGGGCCCAAAACTGAATACAGTACTCGAGGTGCAGCCTCACCAGTGCTGAGTACAGGGGCACGATCACTTCCCCAGTCCTGCTGGCCACAATATTTCTGATACAAGCCAGGATGCTGTTGTCTTTCTTGGCTACCTGGGCACACTGCCAGCTTGTATTCAGCCGGCTGTCAACCAGCACCCCCCCCAGGTCCTTTTCCACTGGGCAACATTCCAGCCACCCTTCCCCAAGCCTGCAGCTTTGCATGGGGTTGCTGTGACCCAAGTGCAGAACCCAGCATTTGGCCTTGTTGAACCTCATACAGTTTGCCTCGGCCCATTGATCCAGCCTGTCCAGATCCCTCTGCAGAGCCTTCCTACCCTCGAGCAGATTGACAGTGGCACCCAACTTGGTGTCGTCTGCAAACTTACTGAGGGAGCACTCAACCCCCTCATCCAGATCATTGATAAAGTTGTTAAACAAGACCGGACCCAAAACGGAGCCCTGGGGAACACCACTCATGACCGGTCGCCAGCTGGATTTAACTCCATTCACCACCACTCTCTACATTCAGCCATTAAGCCAGTTCTTTATCCAGCGAAGCGTACACCCATCCAAACCATGGGCAGCTGGTTTCTCCAGGAGGATGCTGTAGGGAACAATGTCAAACGCCTTGCTAAAGTCCAGGCAGACAACATCCACAGCCTTTCCCTCATCCACTAGGCGCATCACCTGGTCATAGAAGGAGATTCAGGTTGGTCAAGCAGGACCTGCCTTTCATGAGCCCATGCTGGGTGGGCCTGACGCCCTGGTTGTCCTTCACATGCCTGGTGAGCGCACTCAGGACGAATCCCTCCATAATCTTGCCCAGCACTGAGGTCAGGCTGACAGGCCTATAGTTCCTGGGAACCTCCTTCCACCCTTCTTGTAGATGGGTGTTACACTGGCGATCCTCCACTCATCTGGGACCTCCCCTGTTAGCCAGGACTGCTGATAAATAGCCAGGCCAGTCTTATTCCCCGCTGGCTCATCTTTTGGCACTTGGAGATGGCTTGCTCCTGTGCCTTAAAGATTTCCTTCTTGAAAAGTGTCCAGCCTTCCTGGGCTCCTTTGCCCTTCAGGACTGCCTCTCAAAGAACTCTGTCAATCAGGCTCTCCCTTGGATTATGGGAGCTTCATGCTTCTCCCCATCCCTGTCTTCCAGCTCAAGTGGCTGGGTACCCAGAGAACAACTGGTCTTACTATTAAAGACTGATGCAAAGAAGGCATTAAGTACCTCAGTCTTTTCATCATCCTTTGGCACTATGTTTCCCCCTGCATCCGATAAGGGATGGAAATTGTCCTTAGCTCTCCTTTTGTTGTTAATGTGTTTACAGAAACATTTTTAATTGTCTTTTACAGCAGTAGCCAGATTAATTTCTAGGTGGGCTTTAGCACTTCTAATTTTCACCCTGCATAACTTCACAACACCCTTGTTTTCCTCCTGAGTTGCCTGTCCCTTCTTCCAAAGGTCATAAACTCTCTTTTTTTTCCAGAGTTCCAGCCAAAGTTCTCTGTTCAGCCCGGCCAGTCTTATTCCCCGCTGGCTCATCTTTTGGCACTTGGAGATGGCTTGCTCCTGTGCCTTAAAGATTTCCTTCTTGAAAAGTGTCCAGCCTTCCTGGGCTCCTTTGCCCTTCAGGACTGCCTCTCAAAGAACTCTGTCAATCAGGCTCCTAAACAGGCCAAAGTCTGCCCTCTGAAAATCCAAGGTAGCATTTCTGTTACCCCCCCTCCTTACTTCTCTGAGAATCGAAAACTCTATCGTTTCATGATCATGGTATCCAAGACGGCCTCCAACCATCACATCACCCACAAGCCTTTCTCTGTTCGCAAAGAGCAGGTCCAGTGGGGCTCCTTCCCTAGTTGGCTCACTCACCAGCTGTGTCAGGAAGTTATCTTCCACACACTCCAGAAACCACCTAGCCTGTTTCCGCTGTATTGTATTTCCAGCAGGTATCTGGTAAGTTGAAGTCCCCATGAGGATAAAGGCTAGCAATCGTGAGACTTCTCCCAGCTGCTGATAGAATATTTCATCAGTCTGTTCACCCTGGTTGAGTGGTCTATAACAGAATCCCACCATGATATCTACGTTGTTGGCCTTTCCTCTGATTCTTACCCATGAACACTTGGCCCATTCATCACTGTCAACCGTTTGACAGTCAAAACATTCCCTAACACACAGGGTTACCCCACTGCCTCTCCTTTCTTGCCTATCTCTTCTGAAGAGTTTATCGCCATTCTTTGCAACACTCCAGTTGTGTGAGTCATCCCACCATGTTTCCATGATTACAACTGTATCATACTTCTCCTGCTGCATAATGGCTTGCAGCTTCTCCTGTTTGTTGCCCATGCTGAGTGTATTGGTGTAGATGCACTTCAGCTGGCCTATTCATCCAGCCACCTTTTTTGGGAAAGCAGTCCCAATTCCTATGTGACCATTCTCAGGCGCTTCTGTGGTTTCTAACACATCAATTAACCCTTTTGTCTTTGCTGCCACATGAATCTCCATTCCCTATATCCATTGCAATGGCAGACCAAAGAACCTTGACAGCACACCATCCCTCAAACATTGGTGTGCCACCCCCAGGCTTGTCTTATTTGTTTATATACTTATCTGTGTGTGTACTGGACGCTGTTAAGTGATAACTACTGCAACTTCAGTAGATGATTTTTTAATTAAGCTTTCAAAAAATTTCAGTACATTTTTATCCTTACAGCAGTTAAGCTCTCTTATGTGTCTTACAGCTTTATAATAACTCTTAACTGACTTTTCAAAACATGATTTAGGTATTCACAGTGGAAAGTATAACAGAAAATATTTGAAAATAACTGAAAAGAAAATTAATTTACTTTGCTGCAATATTCCACTATTGACATGTTTTCCCAGCAGATTGCTGATTTTTAGAGACTAAGATAGATTTGAACCACAGGTCAGATAAGGAAACATCAGCTGATATAAATTGGTATAGCCTGCTGCTTTGCTGCTACATGATTGTTGTCTCCCAGTATAGAGGATTTTGGAATTTTCACTTCTAGGGAAACTACATTTCTGTCTGAAATACTATATGATGTCCTTCTCTGTTGTTGAAAGAGCTCATGGTGTTATAACAAATAAACAACAGGATTCTAGTTAGCATATATGGAATAGATATTTATAGGAAAGGGTCAGTTTTCTAAGATGATTTTTCACTTGGAATAAGTTAGCTTTTGCATAACTGTCATATAGAAAGATGAAGGTAATTTTAAAGTGTGAATGTCAAGATTAGAGACGATGACCCTGTGGGTGAAACCATTAACATGGACTTCTTGAGGAGGATTTATGGAAGATCTTCACATGTAGGAATCACAAGGGCAGGAGAAAGCACTGACTTTAAAGAACAGACATTTCCATATGGTAGATTAGCAAGGGGAGTTAGCAGATATGCAGATGATATCTTTGAAGCTTTAAAAAGATTTGTGTTTCAAAAGCCACAGCCAACTTAATTGGTTTTCTAGAACTTTTGACTCTGTTCAGTGTGGAACAGTGTGAAATAATAGACTATTCTAGTAAAATATATGAGCATTACTGCAAAAGGGAAGAGAGGTCAGAAGGACTTGTTGAAAGGAAAAGGAAAGAGATTATTTCCAAGTTGAAAAAAGGATAACTGTTGAGAGGAGCTTAGTGATTTAATGTTTCAGGATAGTTCACTAAAGCTTGTAAGCTTTCAGACAAGCTCCAGTTCAGTATAAATATCTTAACTTCTCATAGCCAGATAGCTCAGTGAACAGATGAAAGGGATTTTCAGGTGGGATGTTGGTTACGATTTTTAGCAATTTAGATAGCTGTTTATTTTTCCCATTTCCCCACCACCACCACCTTAGAAGAGAAGGAGATGGAGAAACTCCAGTTTCTTAACCTTTTGAGCAAAAAATGAGTCTACAATTGCTTCGGAAGACGTACATCATAGATTAAGTTCTTTTGCATTTAGTGAACAAATCTTGACTTTGTTAAGGTTACTTTTGTTTATGTATTTGGAATTAGTGCTGCAAATTCAAGTGTTAGCTTTATTTCATGTGGAACTGAAAAGTACTGTGTGAAAGCTAGGAATTACTATTTATTTACTGTATGCTGTTCATAGTGAGTAATATGTGAAACTATGTGGTAACATGTCACCTCTTTTTTTACAAGAGCTGACCTTTATAAACTTCCTCTTCTTGACTAAATAAATCTTACAATTCAGTGTTCACTTGCACATCTGTAAATCAAACCATTGTTGAATGAAGGCTGTTAATGAATACTAAACCAAAAAGGTGCATAGTTGAAGAATTCATTTGTTTGCTCAGCTTACATCCATAAACCATGGATTTTTTCTGCAGTCAATGGATATTTATTCTACAGAATTTAAGCTTTTATTTTTTCAAGGCTTCATAACCTAAAGGCTTGTGAGAAGAACTTCCCATAAATTCACCAGATGTAACTGATGGGATATTGTCCAGGAAGCCAAGTGTTTTGAACAATAAGGAAAAGAGCTGTGTGAACTATACTTTTTTATCACTGATTTTTCATCCCAGTCAACAGTATGAAGAAAATGTAAATGTTAACTATTGTACTGGTGGCTCCAGCAGACAGAACTAGCTATTGTGTCTCTCTGTTGACACATAATAGGGAAGAGTTTCTGGCTGGGGAACATGGATATAGTCGCTTCTCCATCTTCCCTTGTCCCTTCCCACCGTGCTTAAAAACCTGGGACTCTACGCACACAAGAGGGGAGGAAGTAGAGGTTGTAAAAGGCAGTTGCTGCCTAGTCACATTTTGGAAGTGCTCAATTTCTTGTTGTCTGCATTACCAAGGTGAACATTGCCAATAGTACTGGGACATATTGTGATTTGAAAAGCAGAACCACTCTGTGCCTGTGAATATGTGATGTAATGCTTATAACCCCATGTAGCCATAAATTTGCTGAAGAGTGACTTGTCTGCCAGAAAGCTAGCTGGACTGAATGGCAGCAACTGCTGTAGCTAAAAACAGTGTGTGCATGTGTTTTCTGGACCATACAGAGGTCAACGTCTTACAGACAACTAAAGCAATCTGCAGCAGAACAGAAACAGGATTGATTACTTCAAATAAAACCATATTTTGTTCCTATCAATAGCATGATTAAGCTGGTACTTTACTACGAGGTGAAGATGAGAAGTATTTGGTTCATAGTCTGTTGAGAAAAGTAATGTTTTTTTCCCTGCTGGTTTTGAGGAGCATCAAGACTCAATCACAAAACATAGTTGTTTGAATTATGAGTTCTGCTTTTGCTGCCAATTTTAGGAAGATTCCTTTAGGCCATACTTAACAATCGCATGAATGTGGGTTTTTGTAATATTTCCATCAACAACCAAAAATTGTGTTACATAAGTCTGAACATGTTGTAACAACTTTGATGTTAACCCATGTAAGAGCTTCTTTACAGAGAGATTCAGAAGACTAAGGCAAAGCAATTAGTGATATGCATAAATGAGGGGGGTTAACAGCTGTGTTCTGTTGCCTTCATTTGGGAATAAAGGGACTTTAGCTCAGATCACTTCAATAGCAACCCTAAAAGTAAAGGTATACCTTTTTCTTCCAAGGGATTACAGGTAAGAAAGGTATATGTCAGCCAAAGATTTTCATCTTTTGATAGGATGTCATTTTGGGAACTGCTGAAACAATCTAATTCTAATCTCACAAGATTCAGTCTCTTTCAGGATTCGATACAGTCAGTTTTGTTGATGTTTTAAGAGTTTCATTCTGTCCAGGTAACTGAGTATGGCTCTGAGCTTACTGGCTCCACCAAATACTGTGAAGCAAGGACTACATAAAGAGATTTTTATTTAAAGGACATCAGTGTTTGCAATCTTGGCAAAAGAGTAGATGCTGAAAAATTTTCTTTGGGTCACAATGGTTACCGTGAAAAGAATCTTGAATATGAAGCAATTACATTTTTTGAGTCAAGGGTTATGAGAGAAACTTGGGTTTATTTAAACTGTCTTTTCCTACTAATTACTGTTGTCTTTGTTTCTCTTGCCGTCTCCTCCAGATGTTTTTGATTTTTTTGTTTTCCACTAAATATATTTGGGTTGAAGATATGTTTTGATAATTTGTTCAATACACTTCAGTTTGTTTGGCTGGACCAATTCAAGTATGAAATAAGTGTTTATCTAGAATGCTTATTTGTAGAAGCAGAGGAAATTGTGAGATTTTTCATGTGTATATTCAATAATTTGCCTGCTGTTTATAATACTGTTTTAAATTCTAGGATAGAAGTCTGAATTTTCAGATCTGACCACTCAAAATTCTTTTTCTTGATGAAAGTTTATCCTTTCTGACCTGTAAAAATGCACTGTTCTTTGCAAGGTCTTCTAAGAAAATCAGTCCTGTACAAATGCAGGAAAGTATTATTTCCTTCCTTTTTGTAATCACACCTTTACTCTTGTATGATATTTTCTCAGCTTTGCTAGTTAAGTAAAATCTTTCTATAAAATTCTGATCTTAATTTTTTAATCATCATTTCACTGTTTCCCTCTCAGATTTCTTATGAAGTCCTGCCGTTTGGGCATATGTTGCCTTCATAATCCAAATCCAGCAATTTTGGTTGTTCTGTGGCATAGTTTATATTCCTTTCAGGCCTGTATGTTTGCCAATTTGCAGCCTCTGGCAAAACAACATTAACTTATTTGGATACGCTAAGCCCTTTGAGATTATCTTTGTCTGTCTTTTCTGAAAGACAGGTCTTTTTACTGGGTCCTTCATGTTAGCAAGGTTAACAGAAGATAAACCCATCTTGCTAAGAGTGTGCTGTAAAACACATATAGAAATAACAATGTTGCAGAAACCAACCAGAGACAAAGATCTGTCACAAGTCTGCTTAATTACTGTCTTATTAACCAATTATCTTTGCATTTTGGAAAAGCCTATAAAATCAAAACACTGCTTTCTAGAGTCTCTGTTCCTGACTGAACGTAATAGTACCAGTTATTAACAATTAGACTCGGGACATGCAGGACTTCTTGTTACATGTCTAAGCCCAAATTTGTGAACATGGTTTTCATGCTCAAAAAATGGTGACACATTCTTCAGCAACAGAATGAAACATAAATCATGCCCAGTGAGAAGGGCGTGTTATATCTAACACTTGTTCAGCTGTTATATCTTCTAGTAAGACTGTCTCAAGCCATCAAGAATACGAGGTTCCTGACAGTCACCGTGAATGCATGCAAGCTCTTCTGGAGCAAGAAATCTTAAACCACCATCAGGCTCTTCTGCAATTCATTTATTTTATCACCCTTTACGTTGTTCATTATGGTCTCCTCCTCACTGAGAACTTTCATGCTTCCTGCCCT